GGACTCCGGGATCATGACCTGAGCCGAAGGCAGTCGCTCAACCGACTCAGCCACCCAGGCGCCCCTGCATCTGAGTTTTTAGATGGGATGTTCTCCTTGAGCCCTGTTTATGGGGGGTAAAGGAAGCAAACATGTAAAACAGAGGATGCATTTGCTTTCCGTATTTAACAGACAGATATGGGGAGTGTAAACACTCAGACCCCTGCCACCTGGCAAGATAATGCTAAGTCCCAGAGGAAAGCCACGGTGGCTCAGAGGGGGGTGTCTAAGTACCCAGGCAGACAGTAACCCCCGGACTGCGGGTCCGGTAGCTCCTAGAGGGGCTGCCCCAAAGAATCCACTAGGTGCTTGTTAAAACTAACCAGAACCCAGAGCTACTGGCCATACGGTTCTTCTGGCATTTCCTTTCATAGCAGATTTTGAGCCCTGGAAGGGCTTGCTGTGTTCTGTGGGGCTCAGGCCTAGCTGGCCTCTCTAAATTGCACAGAGTTAACTGTGAGAGATAAAGCCCCCGAGAAAGATGTCTTCTTTCTGGAATAGCCAGAATGAGCAGTCTTACTGGGTGAACAGTCACTCCTGACAGGTGTTACCAGGGGCAGTCAAGTGCAATGGTTAAGAGCAAGGATTCTGGAGGAAACAGGCTGGCTCACGTGTCAATGTTATTGCTACTTCTGTGATCTTGGGCTAATCAAACTCTGTGCTTCAGTTTCCGCAGGGGTAAAATGGGGTAATACTAGGACTTTCCCGATGACTTCCTATGAGAAAATAAATTAATACATGTGGAAGTGCATGGGACATACAAAGTGGTTATTATCTTTCATAGGATGTTACAGTTGGGGTTTCTAGGCCCCTGGAGGATCCCAGAACTCAAGCATGTCTCAGATGGGGAAACCGAGGCCCAGAGGAATGATGTGATTTGCCCAGATGATAAAAACAAAAGTGGCAGAGCTGAGCCCAGCACCCAGACTCCTGGCCCTTATCTCTGAGGTTCACTCGTGGGACCACTAAGACCCTTGGGGGAGGGTCCTGGTGCTCAGCCAGCTCTGGAGCAGCGGGGAGCCCATCAGAGGGGCCCGTGAATATTGCAGTGTGGTCTCAGGGTCTCTCAGAGAATATGCATGTGCATATGCAGAGAAATCTGGATAGGGTGGACTCCCATAAGTCCTTGTTATGCAAAGTGTGGTGACAGACGGGGAGGGGGGGCACCCTCAGGAACTATTAGGAATGCAGTCTGCCCCCCCAAGACCTGCTAAATCAGAATCTGCATTTTAACAAGACCCCCAGGCAATTTGCAGACACATTCAAGTTTGAGAAGTGCTGCCTTAAATGTAGGAAGCTTGGGGTACACCTGCTGGCAAAGAGGGGCCCAAATGTATGGAAGAGGATGATTTACAGGAGCCAGATTTTTCGGGGGCCAACAGGAAAGGTGCCAGGTGCCCTTGTGGGATTCACACATTTCTTTTTTGTTTTTAAAGATTTTATTTTTAAGTCATCTCTACACCCAACGTGGGGCTCTAACTCTCGACCCTGAGATCAAGAGTCGCCCGCTCCACCGATGGAGCCAGCCAGGGGCCCCAGGATTCACGCATTTCTGTACATCCCCAAGCACCTACTGAAAGCAGGGTCCAGGCAGCTCCCCCGTTAACACTCAACGTCCTGAGACATCCGACACAGCCCAGCAGGCTCAGGGGTTCCCTGTGTTACTTCTTCATTAATGCATTCGTGTGCTCAGTGTTGGGCCCTAAGGGGTCAAGTGTAAGCCACACCAAGCAGGATCCTGCTCTGATGAAGACCACCCTCCATGAGGGGACGAAAGCAATAACCAAGAAAGCACCAACTAACGAAAATCAAGGTCAGGGCGGGTGACAGTTGTCTCTCCTGAGGCGTCAGCAAGGTCAATGACGCAGTCTCTACGGTGGGGGCTGCCGTGCGGCCCTAGGACTCCCCGCTGGGTGAGCCCAGTGGCTGGGCCTGCAGAGCCTTACTACGAAACAAGATCCTGAATACCCTGCTAGAGTCAGCCCTGGCCTGTGCACCTGCTGCGAGGCCGAGGGCAGCCCCACGGACTCAGCTCCTGCTCCCGGGATCTCCCTGGAGGGCCCTTCTTCTCCCTGATTTATAAATCCCCAATACCCTTTCTGATTTGAGTGAGGAGCCGTTATTTGGGGTTTCCACAGAGGAGGGTCTGATACAGTCTGGCCTGGAGAACCCAGAGGAGCACTATCGTTCCTTCCCCTCACGGGAATGGCAAAACCGGCCAGCCACCGGAATAAACACCCGGCAGGTGGTGGCATCACCCCATCGGCCTGCCAGGCTGAGTCAGTGGCACCCCCGGGACAGTGGCTGCACCCCTCGGCCACCCCCAGACTCAGCCACCTCCACCCCGGGGTGCTGGCCTTGTGGGGCTCCCCACCGCCCCCTGAGAGTCCTGCTGCCCTCACACCAAGACTTCTCAGGAAGCACGGGGGACGCGGGGCACTCTTGAACCTGCCCTGGCCGAACCGTGAACCCCGTGACCTCAGGCGTCAGGCTCTTCCCCTCGGGCCAGCTGCAGCCGTGAGGGTGAGGGTGTGCGCAGCTCGGCCCATGGGCGGTGCTGGCCACGTGGCGAAGGAGGCAGGCACGGGGCCTACCTGGCCCCTGCCAAGGGTGCTGGTGTGATGAAGAGGAGGGCGGAGGAGGAAGGAAGAGCCGGTAGACAGGGGGCTGGCCCAGGAGGCCGGACACAGCCAGCCACGGCATTTAAAGATCTGCGCAGAGCCAGGGGCCTGAGCGGAGTTCGCAGAGCACGTGCCACGTGCTGGAGGGACGCGCGGTTGGGCACGGGCCCGGGAGGACACCCGCCGGGAGCAAGCCCACACTGCCGAGGGGACATGCATCTCACGCTGATATAGCCAGATGCACCCACGGCAGAGGGGAGGAAGTCCCTGGGCACAGGGGACTGGGTGTCGCTGGAGCTGGGGCCGCGGCCGGCACGCGGGTGGTCAGACCATGGAGGGCGTGCAGGCCGGGGGAATGGGTGTGGGGGCAGGGTTGGGGGGAAGCTGTTCCGTGGGTACAGAATGTGTCCTGACCTTGTCCGGCTGTTGGACAAGTGCATGGCTGCCTGGGTGAGGCTGCGACAGCGTAAGCCAGAAGCGTTGGGACTTGAGGGGGAGCGACCATGGTGCAGAGCTCTGGAAGGCTTCTGTGCTCTTGCTCCCCCCAGAACCAGGGACGGGGGGCGTGGTGAGGAAGGGGCTGGCTCCGGGCACCAGTGCACGCCATCAGCACCACCACGAGGCAAGTGAAGGGACCCCTCCAGGCCCCAGCTGGAGGAAGAAGGAATAAGGATGCCCACCTCACCAGGCTCGGCCTGGAGAAGGAACGAGGGACTGCACATGCAGAGCCAGGCACAAAGCGGGACTTGATGACCCCAGGCAGAGTAGGAGCAGGGCTGGCCCTTGCCGTCTCAGAGCAGATATGCAGGCAGAAAAGGGAAAGTGAGCTAAGGGTTGGCGGGTCAGGCAGGAAAGAAGGTGAGAACCGCCCCCCCCCCCCGCCCGAGAGGCTGCTGGGTTGTAAAAAGACACACCGGACTCCTGTAGGAGGTGACAAAGCCAGACTGCAGCTGGGCCACGCCTGGGCCCCAAGTCCTGCAGCAAGCATGTGTCCCCACATCCGAGGAGGCCACCTGACCCCTATCGCTCGCTGGCTGGATGTGCCCAGGGCCCGATGCAGATGCCAAGCCTGAGGACGGAGGGAACAGCCTTCCTTGAGGGATGAAGTGAGTGTGGGGGTAACCGGATCCTGGGGTCTCCGAGCTCCCAGCAGCTCACCTGCCCTTCCCCCTCTGAGCCCTCCAGGACATAGCTAGGACCAGGCGGCCTGAGACGGCCACCCCAGCCGACAGCTGTCTCCAGCCCCTGGTGAGAGTGCTGGAGGGGGAGAGCAGCTAGAAACAGCTGGTGCCCCAGCTGAGCGGACAGGCAGGACTTGGCACAATCCCGGACCACAGCTGATGGAGCTGGGCAGGCTGGCCTGGGTGCAGGGGCCACCAGCTGCCCCTTCAATCACTCCCCCAACCGAACAGCTGCTGAGCATCTAGTCTGCCCCGGGTGTGGGGCCAAGACACTGAAACAAAGATGATTCAGGCTCAGGTCGCCCTCTGGAAGTCCAGAGCCTGGAAGGATAGTCAGACAAGTAAAAAACAAGAAGTCCCAGGCCTCTGATGGTGAATTTCTGGGTCAGGGGTCACCTCATCCCTCCATACAGCCCCGCACCCCTTCACATCCTGACAGTTACAAGCTGTTCCTAGGGCAGCAGATGGAGGGCTGCCTCTCACACATGCAGTCTGCTTAGCCAAAAAGAAAACCTTTCACTCCACAGTGACAAGTTAGATTTGAAGTATATACAACCCCAGGAGAGGGAAGATATTCACTTGAACTCACATTCAGATGTAATTGAATTAAATAACAATAAAGCTGAAATGTATCTTAGAAATATTATCTCCAAGCCTTTCCCTTTCCAAGGTGACAACACCGTGGTCGGACAGGGTGGGCGACACTTTTCTCTAAGGCTGCACTTGAGTAGGAGAGGCATGAAGTGACTGACCACAAAAGCAGATTTGCTCAGGAAGGAGAGTGAACACTTGGGGTGTCTTGATGGGCATGGAGGGCGGGCAGAGAGGGGAGGCCTGGAAAGAGATCCTTCCTTCCCCTAACTCGCAGCCAGGCCTGCACAGATGCAAATGACATTTTCCTATTAGTTGGTGAAAAGATATATCCCCCCAGAGTCAGGAATGCTCCTTTGATCTTGCCTTTCAGACCAGAAATATAAAGGCCACCAAATCGTTAGGTTTGAAGGAGAAGCCTCAGCGATGTCCATGCCAGCACATTTTGGGGAGTAGGCCAGTTCTGACAAAAACAGACTCCTACAGGAGTCCGGTGTGTCTTTTTACAAAGCCCATCACAGATATGAAATCTTACTTGGACACAACCCTATCAGGAGACACACAAGGTTCCATGCTGACCATCTGTGCTCATGGACTAGTTTCACAAAGCCCAGCAGATAAGAGTGAGAAAAAGAGAAGAGTCACACACACCAGATGGGGCTGGGCTTCAG